AATAAATTAATACAAAAGAAGCTTTAATCTTCTTATTTTGTTGTTGTGTAGTGTGTACATGTGTGAGTATGTGCACGACTTCGTACTCCATATCATAGATCAAATGTTTCGGAGTCCTTCTCTTCTGTATTCACAATGTGTTTCGTTCCGTCTCAAATACAATCATAATTAGCACTGTAAACTTGTGCGAAACCATGTACAAATGCGAGAAAGAAAACTTATCCAACGTGTATGTTGACACAATAGACTTTCGATCACAGATTTTGTTGTGACGGTGATGATTTTTCATCTTATTCTTCTTATTATTCTCAGTTCTGTCTTTCTCACATTCAGTCTTTCACTTTGATTTGGCGTTTTTATTTTACAAATTCTAACCTTAAGAGAATAAATGAATGACTTAATCGATTCGATCGACATGATGAAAGACATTAAAATTCCGACATTTTAATAGACAACCGACACGATATCATATGATGAGCGAACTCACATCAGCAATTCATGTGTATGTTTTTATCCTCATCACATTCAACAAGTAATTTAAAATGACAAAAGCGAATGGCAATGGAGAAAAAAAAAATCGGTCGGATATTCTGTAAATTTCTGTTGTTTTCTTCGTCGAAGAAGAACGTGATGGTTGAAATCTTGACAATTTTAAAGTCTTGTTTTTCTCTTGCAATCGCTTCTTTCCCCCATTTTAAAACAGATGAAATAACGAATTCTTTTGAATTAAACGAAAAGCAAAAGAAAACTCACTCGCAACATTCGCTTAAATGACATACATATACAAACTTAGAATATATGGGAAATAATATTGGCGGCACTCGGAAAGAACATGTTTTATACTTATTTCTCATTATTTGATCGAGCAAAACACTTCCCAAAAATTTACCACTTTGCATATTATTCTTTATTTTTACTACTTCTTCTTCTTCTTCATTGTTGTTTCGTTTCAAGTATTTTTTTGTTCGGCTTTCACATGTGCATTGCTTTCATTCAAATGAGAAATAACCAAGGACCGGTTCGTACATATTTCCATGCTTGCCTAGATACGCTAGGTAGTATAGATATGCCAAGCATAGCGGCAAATGCAACCGACGCATCGCCGTCCACTCTGTATGAACATACACATGTTCGTGTATGCAGGCGGTCGTGCTTTGAGAGAAGTACGCATAAGATATAGCTCGAATCGAATGGCGACGGATGCCTTGCGGCTTGAGTCTCCGCTATGCTTAGCATAGCTATCTTGCATTGAAATATGCGCGAACCGGTCCCTGGAAATAACATATCAGGAAATTGAATGCAAATTTGCCAATTGGTCACATTTCTTAACGTAAATCAATGGAAAATATATATTTTCAATAGTAACACGAGTTAAAATTTATTGAATGAAATGTGTCATGATTCGTCGTTGCCGTTGTTTTCGTTAAATTAAGTGCTGTGCTATTGCCTATTGTGACCAATTCAAACTCATGCCCGTATACCAGGCCGTTGAAGCTACTTCCACTTACGCCATTTTAACAGCGCATTGCAGATACGTCCAACCATTTGGTCAGCAACTGTTTCGCGGAATTTTACGTAAATCAATTATGTAGAAAAATCTTTTGAATTACGTTTTGCAAAGGTGAGAGGAACAACAGAAAAAGAAACATTCGTTGCACATAGTCGAGAGTGTGCAATACAAAAGCATTCGGAACCACTGTTTCCCATTGTACCAAAACAAATGCATCCACAAATCAATCTGAATAATTGACTATATTGTTGCTGTTGGTAAATTTTTTTCGATCGGTCTTACTTTTTCGCATTCTAGTCTTTCAAATAATTTTGTTTTATTTTTCCGGATGGCAAGAATAAACATTTATTTACTTTCATATTCATTGGTTCATCAACGTTTAAAATAACAAATGGCTTTGTGCTAAAGATCACAGATCATAAGTATTGTCCAATTTTTTTATTTTTATTCAATTTAATTGGAAACATTTTCAAGGTCAAGAGCTAAAGTTATGCATATTTTTATATTTGATGAAATAAATAAATAAATCTCCGGATAAATGGAGAAAGAGAAAAATTGGCACCGCTAAAAACCAGAAAATATGAAAATATCTCTCCCGGTTTGATTGATTAATTGATTGTTCATTGAAATGAAGGTAGAAAATCCTATCGAAACATGGTGCACACTACAAATTATCTGATTTTATTATCTATGTATCAATAAAATGTGTAATCGATTGCTTACTAACAACGGCTACAACAATTTTGTAGAATTAATAGAGAGAGAGAGAGAGAGAGAGAGAGAGAGAGAGAGAGAGAGAGGAAAGAGTCTTCTATATCTACACGAAAGCGAACGTGAATACGGTATCATAAAAAAATAAAAAAAAATAGTTGACGCATAAAAAGGAAGAAAAAGAGAAAACAAGTAAAGAACAGAACATCGCAAATGCCGCAATATATACCGACCGATTGCAATTTTCTTTTAGATATTTTCCGTTCGTTTCAAACGAAAGATGTAACCGAACTTAATAAATGAAACCAGATGAAAAATAAGCGGCGGACGTTCTCATCTGACTCCCATGGGCTATGCAGAATAAAAGAAAGAGCAAGTAGACAGCCCGACAGACAGACGAAAGCAACTTAAAATGTGGCACGGTTGTCATGGTAAATAAGTAGTATCATTGCCAGTGCCACAGTATGCAAGAATACAAGTACAAAGTGTATGGGCGAATGAATCGCGGAGCCGAATGCGATCATTGTTATAAATGTAGTTCTGTCGTGTGCTTTTTTTTGTTTTTCATTTCATTTCATTGTGAGTAACCATTTCTTTATAGTTGGTTCTTTATTGGCTACTACTATTGCGCATATTATTATTTAGAAACACACGCATCGGTCAGGGTGATCACATAAACATAATTTATCGAAGGGACAACGGTGTGCACAATAATTTTTTCTTGTTGTTCCGTGCTCTGTGTTTTTGGCGTCGTGTGAATGGCATGATATCAATCGTCACCTGAGCTATATACTGCATTTCCAGGATTACCTCGTATACATGATCATTGCATCATAGAATAACAAATATCATGTGTGCGCTTTTCTTTCGCCCAACAACCTCACTCACTCACTAATCTACGAATCGACCAATTACAGTGGCTATTTATTTTTGTGCGCTTGTGGCATTTGCAAGAAAATAAATAATGACTGTGTAATGTATTCATTGCAACGAGCGCAAACGCTCACGCGCTCAAGACGACTACTACTGCTGCTGTTGCACTTTATGCCCACTTATGTGTGTTTTTTTTATTGAATTCACTTAAGGACAGTTTTTCCAAATATTTTTACATGTATCAGCCGCACTTAAGATGTATCTGTGCCAGTGGTTGTTTGTTGTGCCTCTTTGTTCCACTTGCGATTACTTTGCCATTATATGTGCGCATCTATTCTCAGCCAGAAGTAAATGCATTGCTCTCTCTGTTGCTTTTTACGTTGTGTGCTTGCTTGTAATTTTGTTACGCTGTGTGTTGTAGGTTTTTTCATTGTATTTTTTCCTGCTCGTTATTTGTTCATCGTATATTCTCTAGAATGTTCCGCGGTCTATGTATTGTACGTAGCGATTGATCTGCGCATTGTATGTACATTATGTGTTGTGCGTTTTTTCGTCTCTTATTTTTCGCCTCTCGTTCACTCGTTGATCTAAGCTCATTTATTTTAGATGGTTTGTGATTCCATGTGCTTTGTCTCTTGTGTGCATAAAATGCAACGACACTGAAAAATAAAACTGACATCTCACAAGAAGAACAACTATTACAGATGAACAACAACAGAAAGAAAAAAACGGTCTCATGACATTTTTTCACTATTTACAAATATAAAATATGGCAATCATCCTGACTTTATTGTCCATTAATAATAGTTATTAAATTGTTTTGTAGACACATTTGCATGAAATGTGAAGAACATGAAACCAATATCACAGCTCGCTTACAATGAAAATGATTATTTTGAGTCGAAACAAGCGTTCATTGTTTGCCGGATGGTAATTTAAATCACTTAATCCCATATGGTCTGCATATAAGATACATACCAGCCACTTGTTCAAATCACTTCGTCCTGTTTGCATAATTAATTTCCTGTAGAAATGACTGTCTGGAGTTATTCTTTTCTCTTTTTATTTCGTTCATGCCAATGCTGTTGATGGTAGTGCGAGTGCATTTATTTGCAGTTTAATATGCAAAAATATAACCATTCGAACAAACCGAGAAGTATTCATTGTTTTCTGAAAATTAAATTATGATGTGGTGTTGGATTACAGTTTTTGTTTTAAATGTTGACAAGACGACCAATGTGTAACGTTACCATATCCAAACCGCAATCATTGTGTAACACAACCAATGAGATGCTGAATTTGTTGCGGTAATAACTCGCGACCTTAAACATGAGCTCACATAAACAATACTCTCTAATAATTTCAAATATTGACATGTGCAATAAATGTGCGGTTTATTTGATTAATTTTCATCAGCGCAATATATATGATTTGTTTTGATAAAAGTCGGTAATGACGCGAAACAGACATATAATATATTTATTTGTGCTTGTGAAAAATTGTAAAAATTTTAAAATCTACACGTTGCGTCATTGCATAATGTACAAATTGACAGTCAAATCAATTTGTATACTATGGCATATGCATACAATATTTGTTTTGGTTGGAAAAACAATAAATTTTTCATTCATTCATATTCGAAAGAAAAACTAATTGATGTTAAATACTCTTTACAAGCAAACTAAAAAATCCATACAATTATTGGTATTAGTAATTTATAATTATTTTGGCAAAATGTTACCGTTTTTTTCTTCTGATTCCACAAAATATGGTGGGCATTACTTCCTGTGCAAGCAAGTTTTGTAACGCAACTCTTATGATCGAAAGAAAAATCGAGCGAACGAGAAAAAAAACATATTTTTTCAATTTCAACAAAGTTTTTTGTCTCTTTTTTGTAATTATACAGGTAAATCACGGAAGTATAGCTGATCAAGCCGGTCTCCAGCCAGGCGATGCGGTGATTGCTGTAAATAATATGGAAGCATTCAATTTACGGCACAAAGATGCACAAGACTTGATTGTTCGTTCGGGCAATACATTTGATTTGACTATACAACGCGGTGGATCCACATGGAAAGTAAGTAACTTATACTGCTTCAGCTATATTTGATTGAGAAGCCGGTGTCGTTTTGTCGGCCGACATATTTTTTTATTTATTCCCAAACTTTTCTAACAAAATGCGAAAAAAAATTATTTCAAAAATTATTAAATTCCGATTACGAATTGAGTCCATAATATCATAGATGTTCACGAGCGTTATAGCCCCAAGAAATTTTTGAGAAAATGACCTTATTAGCTTTTTTTCTGTGAAGAATTTTTTTTCGATATGCTAGGGAAATTGAATCTTGCGAAAACCCCTCGCAAATTTTTTTCCTTGAACACCTATTTTATTGAGTTGTTGTTTGGAACGTATGCGGTGATTTAAATGAACAAAAATTCAAATTAATTTTTTAGCCACATGTTTCACCGACTGGTTCGATGCCAAGCCCAGGTCAACAGAACTACGGTGGCCCAGTGACAAAAACATCATTGCAACATCATCCACCACCACAAGAACCACACATCGGTTGCGGATACAATAATTCGGCTCGGCCTTTCAGTCAAAATGGTAGCGTCAAGAGCATTGTTAACAAGCAATATAATACACCAGTTGGCATGTACAGCGAAGAATCAATCGCCGAAACACTAACTGCTCAAGCCGAAGTTTTGGCCAATGGAGTTCTTGGGTAAGTGCACATGGTTCCATGAAATTCACTTCTCGCACATTCTATTTAACATGAGCTGGACTTCGCATTGTGTACACACGTGAATGAAAAAAAATATATATTCAACATAGCAATACATTCGAATATGGTGTGGTTGACTTTAAAAACATTGAAAAAAAAAAAGAAAAAATGAAAGAAATGCGCAATCGATTTGAATACTTTTAGAAAAACCGGATTTGTATCGCGCATTTAAATTCAGAATTCACCATTTCCATGCCTAGTCCAATTGGACATTTTTCTCTCGATACTTGTTGCTCTTGTGTGTAGAAATATTTCAAATAACCATAAAATGAATTTATATGTATATGATGTTATCGAAACGTTTTCTTTTTTTTTGGCTTTTGTATTGTAGAGTAAATTTCAAGAAGAACGAGAAAGCTTACAATTCTGAAGGCTCAGAAGTGTTGAAAGCATTGAAAGAAAGTGAAAACGATCCACCAGAACCAGGTAACATAAACAATGAATATTGTATAAATTGTGGTCACTTGAATAATGGCTATGATATGGAATATGCATGCATTCAATGTTTTATTTTTCTCTTAAAAGCAATGACACTCTCAGTGTTTTTTTACCAGTCTGCTTTGGCTGTATCCAAATGATCTAATTTTATATCAAGTGCTCCCAATAACACACACATTCCCCCTCCACTCCTTGATCATGCGCTAGCATAGAAACACACACACACATACACACACCGATATGCATAGTACATTGCACGTACAGAGTAGATACATTTATAATCGCAAACAAGAAAGTGGATAGGAGAATTTTAATAGAAATTTCACGTAAATTGAAAATACATGAACCATTTTTGTTGACTCAGATTCACACAGATTAGGCCAAGTTAGTGCACCAGTTACGAAGCATGTTAGTGCACCAGTCGATCGTCCAGCACCACCTTCAACAGGCGGTTTGCCACCTGGCCAAAACATTTGCTCTGATTGCGAACGATTAATTGTGTAAGTTATGAATTGAAAAATCGAAACAATAAATTATTCGTCCGAACACACACAAAAACCGAACCGATCACAAAAACTATGCAACACAATTGATTTCGATTGATTTTTCACATAATCCATTTTGAATTTGAGTGAAAATATTCTAAAATCAAGGGCATTATACAAATATCGACGCGTAATAGCTGGAAGAAATGTAGAATAGCATACACAATTTGAATACAAATACAGAAACCATTTTCTATTAAAAGGCTTTTACTGTCGTGAACATTGATCGTTTTATTCACTCGTCTTTGTTTTGATGTTGTTTTTCCTCATGTATGTCATCTAATTGGTCCCTATCTAAATGTTTTCAATGTTTGGTGTAAGAAAGTGAAACAAAAAACTTTCGCGTTCTCTAAAAAAAATCGAATGATCTCTCTTTTCTATTACCATTAATGATATTTTAGCGTCGTCACATTTCTATTGGACAGCAAGTCACGCTATTGGTAACTATAGCGCCGTTTCCTCACGTACAAACACTCCAAATCCATACAGTGCTCAACAGCAGCAATTTCAACAACAACAACAGCAACAACCATCACCACAACCTATCTGTCGAAAAGAGGATTTTGCTGGTATAATTTCCGAACCGATTTTTTTTCTTTGTTTTGTTTTGAAAAATTCCACCCGAATCTTGTAACTGATTTTTTATTTTATTGTTTAATGCAAATCTAAAACAAAAACTCGCACTTAGCATCGGAAACTGTACAAAGGCCGATTTTGCCGTCCACAACAATCGATACAACGAAAACACCTACTGTGCAAACCAAAATCGTAGATTCCTCAACGCAATGTATTGTCGCTGACACGACATCGTCGAGAGCGTCACCACCGTGTGATGCATGTGGAGCAACAATCGTGTAAGCAATGACAAAATGAGCCACTTTTTAGAAATCCTTATTGGAGACGGTCAATCCAAAACCCTCTCTATCTATGCCTTTCAAAAATGGATCCCGTTAAAAAAATCAAACATTTCTTTTTTCCTCTTTATTTTTTATGTTTGTATAAATTGTTTGTTATTTAAAACCTTTGGTAGCAAATTTTTCCTATTCTTTTGGCTGAGTTTTTAAGTATTAGTGTTTCTTTTTTTTGAACTGATATAAGCTTTCAACAAGCTCACAATAAAGTTGTTTGGCCAAATATAGTTCAGTCGACAAAGAAAAATCGAACTACGCGGTAAATCTATTGAAATATTCTACATTCATTTGAATTGACCTTGACCGAGTTACCTTGTGGCACATGAGCATCACTGTGTTTGTCTTATTGTTTGAGTTCAATCGATTGAAAACTAATTTAAGATTGGCACATTTATCGTTCTAATATACTTTTAATTCATTGGTCTACCTGTCTTCTGCTATTATTAATCTGTCTAATTTAGTCTTTGATTTTGTTGTTCACCCGAATGATACTTGAATGACTCAACCGAATTTCGAGATTAGTAATTGAAATTTCGAAACATGCACGTATCTGAATGTCTTACATAAAATGCTATTTTGTTTTTTTTTCTCTTCCACACACACACACATTGTGTTCTGTTCTCTGTCCTCCCTGCATTTCACTCGAATTCATGTTCTATGATATATATATTGATTGATATCGCATTTTTGTTTGAGACATAGTTTTTGTGTACTGATGATATGATGAAAGGCGAACCACCAAATTTGTTTTTCCTCTAAATCCGATTTCGATTTGTGTGTTTTCATAAGTCAATAATTTAAAATCGGATACATGTCAGTTGTGTAACTAAAATGTTCTGGATTTTTATTTTTTAGTGGTGTATTTGTTCGTATAAAAGATAAAAATCTTCATGTTGATTGCTTCAAATGTGCCACATGTGGTACATCATTGAAGAATCAAGGTTACTTCAATATAAATAACAAATTGTATTGCGATGTGCACGCTAAATTGGCAGCCGTACAAAATCCACCAACTGGCACTGAGGGATATCGTCCAGGATTAATTCAACCGTAAGTACTATAAGTAATCATGATTTTCCCAAAGTAATATGTTTGTTTCATGTGTATGAATATCTCACCTCACACCACAAAAACCAATATTGTGCACCCGATGATCTGATTCATTGTCAAATGTTTTTCCTTCTTTCATTTCATTTCATTTCGCAGAGAAAAACAATATAAATAATAATATTAATTGAGTTGTGTTTATTCTTATTTTAGAAACTCCAAACTCAATGCAAACAGCACAATTTCAAATGCGTTGAGCTCACACGCGAACGGCGGTGTAAGTATCATATCTTATTTATTTTTGTTCTTGTTTGTTCGTATTATTTTCATTTTAATTCATAATTTGATCTAAAAAAATGTGGTTTATTGATGTTTGATTGTTTGATTTTTAATGTCGTTTTATTTTTCTGTGATGCAATCTCTGCTGTTTTGATGGCTTTCTTTTATAACCCGTGATACGCTGACGCTTTTGCTAACTTGATAATCAAAACAAACAAATACACATATAATACATAATCAACAACAAACAAACACACACACACTCGCATACAGCATGATTTTACAATAATGCCAACACATTCGCGAACAAGTAGTTCAGCCTCATCGGTTGGTAGTTCATATGTGAGCAGTACAGATTCCAACAAAACATCACACATTGAATCACCTACACCAATTCAATCGCAATTGCTCGAAAATGTAAACAATTCAAACAATTTTCATACGTTAAATGGTACTCAAACATTGCCATCTTATCAGAATGCATACAAACTAATCAATGAGCATCTCCATAATCATAAAAATGGCAATAGCAATGGCAATGGCAATGGCAATATCAACGGTAACGGACACAGTAACAACAATGAACAAGAGTATCATGACGATTGTAGCGATAACGATCAGATCGATTTTAATGATTTGCATCATGAATCGTCGATTACATGCAATAAATTATCAATGATCGATCAAACGGTTAATGAAACAAATGGCAAATCAAACGATTCGATCTACGGCACCATCAAACAATTCAACAACGAGCAAATGATTGGCGGTGAACATTTCGCATATAAAACACTAAACGGTGATGTTATACGAAGCGTACAACCACCAGGTAAAGGGAAACCGATTAACTATAAGGTAAGTTCGCTTTTGCATTGTTCTCATTCAATTAATGTCCATGTATGGAAAGCATTTGGAAACATGCACATTGAATATGTACAAACGAACCATTTTTTTATTCGTTTTTTTCCCCTTTAAATAGATCATTGTTTTAATGTATGGCTTTATTTGTGTGTGTTTTCGTTTAACTGAAAGAAAATAACTGTAATCAAAGATCCAACAATTGGTTCTCATCGAGGAATTTATTGTGAGACATTTTTTTTTCATTTTTTTGTGTTGCTCTCTCTTCATCTGTATTTAGATCAAATCGAATCTTGGAGGACCACGACCATTTGGTGTGCCCACTGCAGGCCCTCGAAGCCCAGCTATGAATCAAAGCTGGTCACAACCAATACCAGCACAAACCTCATTTGTCAATAATTATGGTTCACAAACTTTGCCACGATCAACAGTTGGCCAAAATGCACCAGGTCAGTACACACAGACATCCGTTTTTCCAAATTGAAAAGACCCAATAATCCATTTTAGAAACGATATAATTTCATGTAAAATATCTAAAGATAAAAATCTCATTCATCATCCATTTGCTCATGGAATTTGTAAAATGCGTAAAATTCGAAAACGGTATTTCGCATTTCATTGATTCCAGAAATAGAATTTATTACCATACAAACCATACAATGCTATTGAATGTTTTAAGTGTAAAATATAACATACATTATTCGTAACTCATAATTCATTCGTTCATTTACGTAACTTTAATGTTTCACATACACACACACAAACACCACACCGCATATATTGGATCCAAATTTAAAATTGAGAAAATTCACATCGAAATTCGCACCATTAATTTGAAATATATTGTCGGCATAGTTAAATTCATTCACCAACAACCAAATACATACAAAAATGTTTTTATCATCAATGCGTGCATATAGTGTATCAATGTTTCAATGTCATATGTGTAATTCTTTGTTTCTCTTTCACATTTTCCATTTTATTTTATGTTTTCGGTGAACGAATTATCACCCAACCGCACAATTTACGTACACAAAATATATTGAATCCATTCAGGACGATACACCAATTATAATCAATATCAAGGTATAAATCAAAACAGAAATTCTGTTAATTTTGACGATATATACATACCTTATTATCACCAAAACGCTTAGTGCAATGTTTTGCCTGAATTACATACACACAAACACACCAAAAAAGCATATACACACATTTCGTTTCGTTTTATTTATTTGTAATTGTTTTTTAATTTTGTTCTGTTCAATACCCGTTGAATTAAAAACAATACCAACAAAAATAAAGCAATGAATTGAAATAATGGTCCCTTTTTAGTAATAAAAATAATAATGGCCAATGGTGATGATTTTTTTTTAAATGCGACTTTTTAGAAATTGATACGATGGAGACGATTTTATTAGCTTAAACACGAATATATCAATTGAACACTTGTATATTGTTATGTAATTTGTTTTTACGACCATTTTGGGCTTTTTTTGACTTGAACTTATCTTTTTAAATTTCTATTTCTGTTTATTATATCGGTTGTTTTTATTAGTTTTTTTTTTCTGTTTCTTAAAGAGTTATTTTATCGAGACATACAAAAAGAAAATGAATGATTGAATAAATAATCAGTAACAAATAGTTTTGCGTTTATTTATTTGGTTTCTCTTCCACGAGCTCACTTGAACCAACACATTTTATCTGCAATTTTTACATTGCCCAATTCCAGGTTTTATGCCAAACATTTCAGCAGCTTCAACACATTCCGATTATTAAAGCCGATTATGTATTTTATTTTGTTATTCTCTTTGAACTGAATTGGGTTTTTATTTATTTATTTACTTTTTGTGAGATTTAATGCCGCTTATTTATAAATATAATTTAATCGATTTATTGACGAATTGCTTTTGCATAAAAAAAGCATTTTTGCTGTGAGATATTTTCTAAAAGTTAATAGCTAAATAAAAATGGAATTTTCCATCATAAACCCTCCGCATAATATCTATTTATGAGGCATGTAAATGCAATTAAAGTTACTGATCAAAAAGCCGATACACAAAAGTGTTTCCTAACCGATTTTCAATTCAACGAAAACAAAAGCATTTATTTTGATATGAAGCCCCTTTCTTCAAATAAAACGCGCGAAATTTTATTCTTTTTTTGAGTTCACACTAATTGACCACTAACAATCTACATTTGTATAACATTTATGCATAGTCATCAGTGCTTTAACACAATACACAGCATGTATATACAATGTACATAATGTAGCTTACACAAATCATATTTTTAATTTTTGGTTACATACATAGTGAGAAATAAAAAATAAATTACAGCTTTAACCAGTGCTTCAGCTAGCTAAGATTATTAATGGTATAAATATTACATTTTTTCGCACTGCCTCTCACAATTCTCCCTTCCGACATTTGAATTTTGTGTGTGTATCTCGATTTGTGCAACAAAACAAAAACAAAACACACTGAAATCCTCAACACACTTATTGAATCTCTTAAACTCCGTCTGTCTGCCTCTCAATCTCTCTTGTCTGGTCGAAAAATGTCAAAATTTGTAAATCTACATAAACGCAAATAGAAGAGTCATTGCAACAGCAATCCGAAACAGGTTACGACCTTGATTTTGCTGATGAAATACCATGTCCATCAACCTCGACATTCAGTTGGCCACCGCCACCTGAAGATGAACAACGTTATACCCCGACCGCATCACCGCTTTATATCCCACCGCCTGGTACACAACACGTCCAGGTAACAAGAAACTGAACCGAAAAAGCAATTCATGTCGATTATTTTTTGTTGATTCCTTTTCGTTGATTTTCTCTAAAAAAATGTTTGAATAAGTTCTCGAAATATGTCGATCGATTCCATATTCTCAAACGTCGTATGGATGTTTATTGGGAATCTTTATTTGAGACGCTCAAGAATTTATTCGAAATATTTTGAAGATGAAACCGCAATCGTACGTTCTCAATTCCAACGTTTTGCTCAAAGAGTGGTTATTCTTTTTCTTTTATAATTTCACGTTGCCTCTGATTTTCGCAATGACTGGTGTTCAGCCCAAATTTATCGCACAAACAAGCGTTGAGCAAAGATTCTGTGCCACAGCCAATAAAACCGAAGTTGAAACGACACAAATTCAGGATGTCATTGACTTGGTGCCGGCTTCATGGCTTACACAAGAGAGTCGCTCTGCACCTCAACTCACTTCGATGAATTTAAAAGAACACAACGAATTGACTGAATGCTATTCAGACAGCTATACATCGACGTGCACAACAACAGCGACGACTTCGGATGAATATCAACGTATGTACAATGCCCAATCGACATTGTTGCAAAGTCAAAGCTTTTATGATCATTCTTCGGTTGATTTAAATTCATCGAATTGTGATTATGAAGTGTTATCGATTCAGCAACAACGTGCTTCATTTTCATCTGGTTCCACTGATTTTATGGGTTTTTCGGGGCGACGGAGTGCACAAGAATGTGCCGATGCAATTTGCAGTACAATTAATACATCACAATTAGTTAATTATATCAAAGAAAATGTTCCAGTTGATTATGGTGACTATTCAAGTTCGACACTGCCAAAACTACCAAAAAAAGTTGGCTTTGCTGAAAGTATAACTAAAGTTGAAACTGACGCACTTATTGATAGTGGCAGTCAACCCTCTAGCATTGCTGACGAACAACAAAATCAAAATGAACAACAAATCGTCCAAGAATTATTTGGGCTAGATGTCGAACAGCAGCAGCAGCAGCAGCAGCAACACCAACAAGAGATCCCATCAGAGACAAAAGAACAACTTAAGCCTCCATTTGATAGAAAATCAATAACACCATCACCAAGCATAATTTACAATGCAACACCGAGAGAATGGAAAAGCTTAATGGTGCAAGCGTTAACAACAGCATCTGATAAACCGTTTACCATAACCGATTTACCAGAAACTGTTGTCGAAAGAAGCACATATGAAAGTTTTGACCAATCTTCATCGATAACAGTTGAAACAACTGAAACCAAACAAACGGACGAAGTTCAGTCTATTTTGCAAGAAAAAACAGACGACGAACAAACCACTGTCGAACTTGAAAAAAGTGAGGAACAAGCGAAAACAAGATTTTTGGCATCACACTTCACTGCACCAAGTGACACAATGGAGGCGATGAAGCCAACATCTGAAGATGTTCCAATGCCAGAAGAAACAATACCATATTTTCCACCGAATATTCCATTATTACCGATTGAAAAGCACGAACCGTTACGAACAAAATCACCATTTGTGGATGCATTAACGGTAGCACCACTTCGACCATTTACACCATTTGAAAATGATGTCATTTCACAAATTGAAGGTTTACCAAGAGCACCGCCCAATGTAACACTGACGGATGCTTTAACAACAGCACCATCAAAACCAATAAACACATTGAATCCACCGCTACCGGATGAAACTGAAGCCGAAGAATGTATTCGTTTGGAAAATGAGAAACAAGAAAAACAGGCAGCCGAAGTGAGGGCTCTCATTTCAAAGACCATTGATGAGGAATTGAGTAAGAAATGCACGTCATTTGCGCCATTTCGAGGCTATCGAAAGGTTGACCCATTCAAACCACCATCATCGTCATATAACCACTCATCTCATTCTCAATCACGATCGTCATCTGTATGCGGTGAAAATGTAGATAAAACAAAACAAATCATCGATATAAACGATCAAACACAGACCATCACAACAAACAAAGCATGCCATTCTCAAACCAATCGTAACACGAAAAAATCAACCACTTTCCCACCACCTCCAGGTACGCCAGTGAAATCATACGTTCAATCTGGCCTACAAAGCCCAAAAACGATACCAAAATATCAAAGGCAATGGTTTAAACTACCGTCACAATCACCAATTCGAACACCCGAGCCACTCGAACTTAAAGAAAATGTTCCGCTTGCTTTTATCGATGTACCTCATGAAAAAACCGAATCCGTTTCAAAACCAATTGCCATTACTATTTCAGCCTCAACAACAACATCAACAGCAACAACCGAATGTGCAAACACTGAAAGCACATTTGTTGTTGATGTGCAAAAAACAACGAATATTGCATCGGCAACAACCGAATCGTCATCATTTTCATCGGAAAGTGCATCAACGGTGGCAACCATTGTACCGACATTGCCCGAAAATCGTGTCGCTCCAATAACAATGACATTTCAAACACTCGATCCAAAGGAGGTAATTGAGCCAGTTTCATTGCGTTCGCAAACGCCATCGTTGATCAATAAACCACCACCGTTGGTACCATATTATCAACAAAATTTAGTTTGTGAATACTATGGAGCACCGAATTCATTCACATTTGATCCAACTACACGAACTCCATCACCACGTCCGGATGCTATGAAACCATATGCTCAAGGTCCACCACCGAGCGTTTTGAAAATTCATGCACCGCGAATCACAACGCCCGATTCACTTGAGCTATCTACTTCGATTGGTGTGCCCACTGTATCTGGTTCTCAATCGGGTGCTCAATTATTGGCCGCATCGAAGCAAGGCTATTCATCTGCATCGCAAAGTTTCGTTAAAAAACCGGAAGTCTTTCATCGCGAACAAAAAGACGGTTTGAGCATTCAAACACATACAACTGGTTCCGAATCGAATGCAGCCAAAAAATCGGATATACAATCGAGCGCAACCTATCAAGTCGGAAATGTTCAAGTGCAACAAAATCGTCGAGTTGTTGAAGAATTTGAACGCACGCAAAAATCAAGTACAACTGAAATTCATACGAGTAGCACGGGTCGCAGTGAACTTGAGCAAAAAATTGCAAGCGGTGCAATTTCAAGTGAATATCTAACTGAATTACCGTATTGTAAAGGATTTGTTGCACGTCAAGCTAGACGTCTGTCTGAAACATCACAATCAAGTAATAATGTGGTGGCCTCATATCGATTCCCACAAACTACGCCCGATGCAACTGAATCGGGTTTTCCCATTGAAAATAAATCCGTTGAGACACCAACACCGGCGACAACTCTATTGAATGAACCAAACATTCAACCGGTCAAACCATTGACTAAATCGATTGCACAAAAGACATCACCTTTTCCATTGCCAAAGACACCATCTCATACACCACAACGATTATCTCCAATTCCACAACGGACATGCTTCTCACCACAGAGAGCATCTCCGGTTCCGCAAAAAATCTCGTTTCCACCGCCAATCAATGTAGCCGCTTATGATGAACAGTTTAGTAGTAGCCAATGCACTAATCAATTAGCCACCGCTTCACTAACCTCACAATATCAATCATCATCGGCTTATCAAACGCTAACCACAGCCACTGGTCCAAGTGCTTTTTTGCCTAATCCAAACTTTGGTAGTACGACAACACCCAAACCGATTTCTTCCACTTCAATTCCCGGCTCAAAGCCACCAATTTTAACCACAACCAATTTTAATAACAACCAAAATACTGTAAGTGTAAGTGATCCAACCCCTGCCAGTGCAGGTCCATCAAACAAGAATTTGACAACAACAACTCCGAAACGTGGCCGTGGTGTTTTAAACGCTAGCGTTGCTCCTGGCGGGCGTATACCGAAATGCGGTTGCTGTAATGCACAGATCAGGTGAAACAGCAATATTCGATATTTCTGTGTGTGCACTCTCGTTTCATGTTTTGCGTTCGTTTGCAGTATTTTTGTTGTGTCGCTTTTCTAAGTCACAATTCTGTTGTTTTTGGTTTGCGACATCAAATCTCATCGACTGCAATGTTAAAAAAATTATTGAACATGTTGATTTGGCGAAAAAATCTACATAAATCGAAAACAGTTTTGCATTTTCATAATTGCTTGCTTGCATTTTGCATGATGAATAGATGTAATGAGATTTTAACCCCAAATAGTTGATTTTTTTTTGTAAACTGTTGTTGAATTTGAATTTTACGCATAAAAATAAGCATTTTACAATTAACATTGTAGTTTTAACTAATGTGTTTGCGTGTGATTTTATAACATTTGATTTTTTTTCTTCCCCTCTCCCATAATGCTAACATTATTAATAGCAGTGTCGCAAACTACAAATGGATTGGCTGAAACGCCAACGGCACACCTTGATATAAATGCTAACAAAAAACCTATGGAAAACTCACTTGATGATACAACAACGAACGATTATGAACCGGGTCAAGCGACTGAGATGCTTACAAATTCCGTATTGAATTTGAAAATTGAAAGCGATACTAAGGAAAATTTTAAGGCACACGCTGGCAAAATTCTCACCGGAATGCTTGAGTCACGGCTTAACAACGAAAAAAATTTACAAAATAGCCAGGCGCATAAAATAATGTCGACATTAAACAAGTCGATAATTAATGAAAATAATAATAAATATTCGCATGATACTAATGGCAATAGCACCACGTATAATGGAAAACCGGCTTTTCAATCGTTTAATTCAATTGCTGCGCAAAAGCTTTGCCCAAATTTGGATACAGTAAACAATCTTAATAATAATAGTAATAATACAGTCGCAATGCCGCTCATAATTCCAACATCACCGATAACCGCCGCAAATGCCGCCGATTTTCCGCCACCGCCCTCACCATCCGAACTAAACGAACACAAATTAGATTTTCACAATGAAAATCACAAACAATCGATGTCGCTCATTGGGCAAACCAATTTAAACGATCACGACTCTGTTGACAATGATGTATATTCAAGTATTCAACCTATTGATGGTTTTTCAGCCAAAACGAATCCAATACAATATCAACAACAACAACACCATCACCACCAACACCAAACGCACGGTCATCATCAAGTAAACAATCAACAGCACTACGATAATGATCATTCAAACAGTGTAGTTTTCCGTAATAAAAATACCAAACCAGAACTAACTACGCATGCACGTGATCGTCGTTCATACATTGAAAAGGACAATTTCAATCAGAACCGATATCTTAACCATAACAATAATTTGATAACATCTCAAGCGACAGAAATTGCAACCGGATTAAAGGATGGTAAACATCCAGTTTGCTCTGTTTGCCACATCAAAATTACAAGGTAAGATCCCAAAACAGATACACACAATGGTTCGATTTACATATCAACGAACCTATCGATTATTGACATCTCCAAAATCGATCATGATACATACATATACACAGTAGCTCAATAATTTTACCCTTTAAAAATGAGATTTATTTACGTTTGATGTTGAGATGCACTTTCAATGTTTAATGTCAATTTTGATTTTATTTTAATTATTTTAATTTGTGTCGAGTGTTTTTGTTTAGTTTTTCTTAATTAATTGCACGCGAACACAGTGTACAATTACGTAATATTGCCATTGAATTTTAATTGAACTTTTTTTTATCATTTCGCTGATTGCATTTGAACGTATAAAGAGGGCCATTCATAACCGCATTGGGTCGCATCTGGTGTCCAGAGCATTTTGTTTGCGTTAATGGTAGCTGCCGACGACCACTCCAAGATATTGGTTTTGTTGAAGAAAAAGGCGATTTGTATTGCGAATATTGTTTCGAACAATTTTTAGCACCACCATGTGACAAATGCAGTGGAAAAATTAAGGTTTGTTGAATAGGTGCCACTTAGGCTTCTTATTTTATGTGCAATAATTCGAAAAAATTCTTTTAAAAAAAAACAGGGAGATTGTTTGAATGCCATTGGCAAGCACTTCCATCCAGAATGTTTCACTTGTACTTATTGCGGCAAGTTATTCGGCAACAGTCCGTTCTTCTTGGAAGATGGTCGCCCCTACTGTGAATCTGATTGGAATGAATTGTTTACAACAAAATGTTTTGCATGTGGATTTCCGGTAGAAGCCGGTGATCGTTGGGTCGAAGCTTTGTCCCACAATTATCACAGCCAATGTTTCAACTGTACCGTAAGTCAAATCTACAGTAAAATAATTTTATTGTTTTTCTTCGTAAAAAATTAATTCGATAAATATTCATTTAATATTTGTTCTTTAATTTTTCTAGATGTGTAAAAAGAACTTGGAAGGACAAAGCTTTTACGCCAAGGCCGGTCGACCATACTGTAAAAATCATGCTCGTTAAGAAAATTTTGCATAGTGTTGATGTATATTAGAAGAAGAAGAAGAAGACGAAGAAATACGCCAATTTCTTAACTTAAACAATATATTTTAAGCTTAGTAAAAAGAAAACGCGAAAGTTATCTATTGCTTATTCATGTCTAATTCCGCTTTATACACAGTTTGCACGTTCTTGTTCTTTATTTTAGTCAAAAAAAAAAATCGTCGAATATTCAAACGTATACTCACAATTTTCTTGATATATGAGAGGATGAAAAAATATTTAAAAAAATGCTAAAATGTTTGAAAAAAAAAATCGAAACACATTTATTTTTGTAAACGATAACGTATTGTAATAATATTTAAAAAAATCAAAATTTGCATACTACAGATGAATTCATATACACCATGATGTCAACATGTGCAGCTGAATTCTCTTAAAGTGTAGCATTGTGTTTGCCTTATCTGGAGAGTTGAACATTTTTTATTTTAAATTATTCTATTTGTACTAGTAGAAATTTGTGCTTTTACATTTTTATGCTTTTGAATTTAAAATGAAAAAAAAAAAAATGAAATTGTATATTTTTGTGGTTTATTTGTGTGATATACATTAGGTGAAAAAAAGAAGAAAAATTGCAAAAAAAAGTAACAAAACATCAATGTGACATTTTCGAATATCAATATATCGAGTGTTTTTCTCAAAGTCTATCGAGAGCATTGCGTCTATTTTTTTTAATTTATTTTTTATTCATATCATTTATCACAGTGTTTTCATTATCCATTTAATTTTTATTATTGCTAAACTGATCAATTTGAAGTAAGCCTAAGAATTACGAGAATCGAATTCAAAAGAATGTCGAAAATGATTGAATGATACCCAAAAAATTTACATCAAACTGAACGATCAACAAACTTGTATACACTTCAACGTAAATGCCGAATATGTGTATAACGATTGAAAATTCGAAATTGAATTTGAAAAGATACAGCAACGTGTGTTTGTCTTTAGCAAAATAATTTTATGCGAAAAAATAACCCGACACGACAATGATATATTTGTAAATAAAAGATTTACTTGAATCGAAAGTCAAAACAACCAACAAAATCATATCACTTTGAAATTCGTACTTAATTATTATATAAAATAAATTAAGAAAAGAAAGTGTATAAATTGAACGAATAAAATCTATTTGCTTTTACTAATCAAATTAATTTGTGTTTCTCTGTCTTAAATTCTATTTATTTCAATTTCCATCGCCATAAACGATACAAAACAACATTTGCTAATTGAAAGAAAAAACACTCGGCGTCTCCGTTTTCCTTCGGCATCGCCTTCAAGCGACAATAATTCGAACTAAGACTTATAGCTTTTTAAGTTGTGCTTTTCCGAACTTCGGCTTTTTCTCATTACAAATTTTATAACACACTGTTATCATTTTGCATCTATCAGGCGATTATGTTTTCGCCAATATACAATTACATGGAAAATATTCAATGTATTTTATCAACATTTTGATGAATTTTTGACAGTTCTGAATTTGAATAAATTTTTTCAACATCTGTAAGAAATATTCGATAGAAAAAAATAATTGAAAATAATGATTTATTGTCACATTTTTGGAAAACAATAACAATATAATTGCCATAACTTACGGCCCGTAGGAAATGAATGAAATCATAAATACATTTATCACCGTCATATGTCATCCTTCCGAAACACGTAAGAGAAAATAAAAAAAAAAATCGAAAGAAGAATATTGGGCGGATTTTTGTCATTCAAACCAAAAGGAAAAGGTGACATTTTGTTTATGATTATATCTTCTGAGAAGTGAATGGTGAAATTTCGCATCTCTTGGAGTGTAAAAGTGTAAACTGTGATCGGTGAGCCAAAATGTCTCATACAAACCATTCAACACATTTACGAGGAATCATTATGAAGAATTCTTATTTTTCCCCTTTTTTGTGTTCAAAGCGAATACACAAAACACACATATATCGTTTTTCTGTGAATTTTCATATTTGTAGTACAGTAAACTGCGCATACATCATCATTTTTAAATTGTAGTGTTTATGAATAGGTTCAGGTAAAAAAATATATATACTTTATGTTTGGAGTGAAATTGAGCGAGAAGGAGAAAGAAAACGCGCGCACTCACTGTCTCTATCACTTGTTTGCTGTGGGCCAAATTCAAAGTTACGGATCACATGTTACCAATGCAACGCAATGATATTTGAGTATTTGTGTGCGTGTGTTCGTATGCGATCAACAAGTAACAACCACCTTCTAATGCGTTTGCATGATCCGCGCAGTGTATGCTATGCTAGCAGGCAAGCAAACAAAGAGCGAGAAAGCAACGCATAAGAATAGAATAAATAGCCGAAATTTTTTTATGTCACGCATGTAGGACAAAGACATCAACACAAAGAAATGGAGAGAAGAAAAAAGATGGGGAGATAAAGAGGGAGAGAGAAAGAACGCTCGGTAAGTTTCAGAGCAATTAATTTGTTCCGACGTAGTTGCAGTCCTGCACGCACTTCATTACACCAACACAAGCGAAAAACGAAAATCAAATTTTATGACCTTTTTTATTGGTATCTTTTCAATACATTCAGACGTGTATGTTCTGAATTGCCCCGAGATCTAGGTACTACAATAACAAAAACGGTCGTCCAATGCAGCCGAAATCACTTGACGTTCGTATGTGTGCGTATGTGTATTTTTGTTCGTCTATTTGTGTCGGTTTCTTTTTGTACGCATTCAATTTCGGTAACGTAGATGTGAAAGAGAGACAAATTTCTATGCATTTTTCTATGAACACACAAAGCCATTTTCTAATGTGTTCCAATCGTACACACTCTTGGGATTTTGTAAAAAATATTGTATATTTTGCTCATCATAGCTCTAGCCGCACCGAATATGTATTAGTTTCAGTTTTCTTATTCTATTAGTACTCGGTCTATCTTAACTTTAAAAAAAAAACTCACAAAAACCTATCGTCTTTGTTAATCTACAAGCATTTTTATAATCTAATGAATTTCATATTTCGTTTGAGTTTGATTTGTGTTTTACCAGTGGTGTGAATAAAAACGGTGAAAAATTGTGATTTTATTTTGATCTATTGAAAAAAGGAGTTCAAAAACAAGTGAATACACAATGCCGAATATTGAATGTGCTGTATGTTCAGAGGAATTTGGCCAACGAAATGACACGAGAGACATAATCATAACCCCATGTGGGCATGTATACCATGAACCATGCCTATCAAAATGGCTTCAATTTGGGTAAAAATTTAAATATTTTATATTTACATGAAATTTAAACACTTTTTAAATGATCATACGTGAAAATATTTTGACTTTTAGTTTGTCGACAAATTTTGAGACAAAACTCCATTACATTGGTTATAATACCGAATGAAAAAAATGATTAGTTAAAGTCGAAAATGTGATAAATTGAGATGGTTTCTTAATCGATTATGTCTCATGCAAAAACGTCGTTGTGGGTACTTATATATACGATTAGTCAGTCATTTTGTTTTCACGATCGGTATTTTCTTCAGAACATTTTTTTTTATATGAATTGACGAAAAAAAAATTAATAATAAAAATATTTGTTGCAGTACCAAATTGGATGAAGCGCCCAGGACATGCCCTGAATGCCGTCAACCGGTTTCAATGTCAGCAACCCGACGAATTTACTTTAATTTTTCGACGGTCATTGATAATTACTCGGAACATATCAACTATTTAAATTCAGTTGTTTTAGAGAAAAATAATAAACTATACATAACGCGAATGCAATTGAACAATATCGAAAGTGAATATAGCAATCAATTGCGCACGAAATCGCTAGAGGTGCAAGGTCTTACGGAAAAACTGCAACATCTCAAACTAGAATATAACAAATTAAAACACTTGATGTGCAAAACACAAGATCAGCCGAAGCAACTCCAAGAAAAAATTGCAAAACTTAAAATGAAACTCAAAGAAGTAAATATTTATTATCCAAATATTCAATGGTTCAAATGCAAAATCATATAACTAATGTTCATTTTTTGTATCTTTCTCTTCTAGAGCAAACACAAACCATGTTCAACGTAAGTTTAATCGATTTTTATTTTTTAAACATTATAAGTATTCTTGGCAAAAGTCTGAAATAATCGAATTGATAAATGTATATGTTTAGGTGCCAGGCTAGTTGCAGAGTGAATTTAAAAGATGCCACCACATCATCGAATGTAAATGAAAATATGTTCAACCAAACGCCACAATTCAATCCAACCGAAGCGATAGCCGTGAATCAAATACGTACCATGCAACCAAACAACTGTGATCCATCGACATCGATATTCAATCAAAATTTGTACATGGCACAATCAAGTAGAACGCCAACGACAATTCCAAATCCTTTAGATTATGACATCAATACAATCAACACAATTAACACAAACTTTCGTTCGATTCGTCATCCTTTGTCACAAAGTGCATATATGAGCACAAATCCAATGCAAACATTTGGTTCGATGATAGCTCCCATTCAACCGGCACACGCAACACAAACACCGCAACAGCAACACTTCACCTACAGTCAAACGAATTTTTTCTTACCTATTCAAACAACCAACTCAATAAATACCACATACTTCAATCCCAACGATCAAACACACTATATTGGATAATAAGACTCGCAAATCCAACACTACACAATTTAATCACAAACATTTTTAGAATTTAATTTAATGTGCAACAGAAAATAGTACAAAATCTAGAGAATTATCGTTCAAATCTCAGGAAACTATGACAGACATTAGACTAATTTTATATATATATTTGGCAGTTGTTTTAGCGATAATGAAAATCAAAAACATTTAAATATTTTTCAAGTGCTAATAAGTGCTTTGAGTAGCCAATACTCTCTAAAACAGATGATAAAAAAAAAATTATTTGCAGTGAATAGATTGGGCTACAGCTATAGCAGTGCTATTTTCACAGCTCCTATTCATAGGTGCTATTTGTGAACAACGCATATGGACAGCGATTTTATGATACATTCCGGACATAATATAAGATAAGTCTATTGTTCTATTTACATTTTGAATATTTCGTTCGGAATTGTATCATAAAGTCGCTGTCCGTATGCGTTGTTCACAAATGGCACCTATGAATAGGAGCTGTGAAAATAGTACTGCTATAGCTGTAGCCCAATCTATTCACTGATTATTTGTAGCAATAACGTCCGATACCGGAAACGATTTTTTAATCTAAAATAAACGACAAAAAATAAGTTTATCGTTATACATTTACAGCATTCATCAGAAAATATGATAAGACAATAAATTAATTTTTGTTCATATTTCCATGTGATCTTTTCTATATGCATAATTAAAGAAGGATGTCAATTTTTCATATAACGAGTGATCCTGGGCATTTTTATGCAATTTTATTTTTACATGTGAAGTGTAACAATATAAAAATGCATATAAAAACACTGGTTCACTTTTTGGCATTGTTATTTGTTTTTTTAATTATTATTTTCATTGATTGCTGAAATGGACGGAAAACTCAGTTCATACTTCGATCTTTTTCTTTTGATAAAATTACCTTTTTAAGATATCTATTTGAGACAAGATTTTCATATGCCAGTTGACTAATTTCAGGAACAAAAATAGTGATATTGGTTCGGGATGATGTACGTCTCAAAGTAGCCGCATATTATAGAGCAGTATAGCTCATTTAGGATAGAATGGTCGAAGAACCTTTTGTTGTTGCTTAGAATCAAAATGGATCTTTTTTTTTTAAGAAAAAACAAAATGTTATAGACTGATGAGCCACATATGAAATGAAAAAACGCGATATTTGCGACTCAGCATTTAATTTTTATCGCAAATATTCACACCAATCTAATTAAGAAAAGACTAAATAAATATGATAAATAAATTGTAAATCATAATAAGATTTTATTTTTTCAAATTAAAAAACCAAACGAATCTATAATATTTGCAAATTACTTTTGAATGATTTTAATGGAATTGGAAAAAGCACTGATGGTTTAATTCGCGTGGAAATTTTTATTTAATCAGTTTACTTATGCAATGAATGGTAAGATTATAGCGAAAAGGTATCACTTTGTAATGCGATATGTAATTTTCATCCTAAAACAGTTATAAAAGTGATCGCTGTGTTGTTTATAAGAGACTCACATCAATTCTTTTGCTTTTAAGGGAGGAAAGAAAAATGATCAATCATAAGATAAAAATTTAAAATGTACTCTGCCAAACCATGTAAATTCTTTTACTTTTTCAAAATTAATTAAAAACCTATATTTCGTTTTTTTAAAATCGTTTTTTCAGTACATTTATAGAACGAAGTCGATCAAAGAATACTTTCGTCAATTATTGCCGTTGAACGCATTTTTAATAAAAGTAAAATGGCTATTGTCTCAATATCTTTTGACAAAATGCCTGTGGTTCGTTCTCCATTTCTAATGGTAAGATGTTTGTGCCTTAGTGTTTGAACGTTTTTTTAGATTTGAAAATTGAGTTAAATATTCAAAAACAAATCACTTATATACCTTGCTTTTATTTCCTATCATTTTGTGATGTCTATCGACTGCTTTGGTGTCTGAAATACAAGCCTTAATAAAAAAATAAAACCAATTGAAATTTTGTAATTTTTCCGTTTATATTTTTCGCTTTTATAAATATATTTTAATTTCATATAACATATTTCCATATATTATAACATTTATACTTTGCGTATACGTTAAAGAAGGAAAAAAACACACATACAAAACAACATTTCTGTCGGGGTTGTAAATGTAGTTGATTGCGGTCTTTGCTATTATAATTGATACATTTTTCTAGGAAAGAACATACTCGATGTTCAACACAATGAAACAGAAAAACGGAGTACAATTTGAACGTGAAAATTTGCCAGAGTAAAATTTGAACAAAATTTAACTAACTGAAAATTTGAAAATGTGAAATTCATTAAACGGTGATTACTCAAAATGACGTTAGTAAAATGTTGTTCACTTTTGAGAATTTTTTTTCGGGGAATTCCGTAAAATTGAAAGAATAACTCAACGTTTTAATACCATAACTGGAAATTTTTCTGGATTTTCACTAAAGAACTCAAATTATTAATGCAGAGACACAAAATCTCTTCCAGTTACACTGTTACTATAATTTGAAGAAAATGTGTATAGCTGCAGTATGGATGCGTCCATAATTTGAATTTTTGAATTGAATCGACACAAAAATGTCAAAATATGACATTGAGATTTCAATATTATAGAAATTAAGAAAAAAAATCTCAAAAGCGAACCAAATTTTACTAACCTACTCAAAATCATCAGAATGTAAGTGATAATTTGTATACGGCTCAGATTTGTATGCATATTTAATTTTTGTTGTGTTTTTCTTCCTTGAAAATTCGAATATATAGATTTGTTTTTCCTAACTGTAGATGAAAACTTTGGTTTTGCTTAAAATACGTGTGTGCTGTGCTGCAAATTTCATTGTTGGCTGAAAATGAAATTGTTCTAAATCTTATGATTCGTCTTTATACAGTGTATTTATATAGTTGTTGTTATGTTTTTTCTATTTTATTGTTGAATTTTTTGTTTTACTGTAACATTTAGTAACATTTTTTATTCTCTTGACATCTTTTTATCATCCACACTGAAACTGCATACGTAAAACTTCTTGATTTTGCTAATTTATACAAGAACCTTCCTTATTTTGTTTTTTTTTTATTTCTTATCCAAGGACAAAACATTAGTTGAAACAAAACTTTTGTGTTTTTTTTTTTGCTAAAACGTATTATTTTGTAAATTTTATCTGTTCTTGCTAGCAATTTTTGTAATCGATTTTGTGTGCATAGCGTATTTCAGCTTCATTTTTGATTAACCAATGAAATTATTTAGTTTATTGGCAATTAGTGGATGATTAAAAAAAAGTTGTAGTTATAACCAGGCACAAAAAAATCATTATCATTAAATTAAAAATATAAAACCGATAAAATACTGTACATTGGCTCTCTTCCTTCTTATCTATCTATCTCTTTGTCTTTTTTACAATTGTTCTTCAATTTTGGCTGCTTTGCGGCGTTTATTTCGAGTTATGTTGTTTTTATTGTACCGAATGGCTTTATCGAACCAAAACAAATCGATTGTTAATAATTATGGATACGCCGAATTTTTTTGACATATTATAAAAATTAAAAAGATGGAAATGCAAGCAATGTGTTTTTTTTTTTTGGAATTGCGACTATTTTTGCTTGCATTTAAAAACGTTTAAAAATTCATTTAAAAAAACATAGAGAACGTATTTGTCGAATATTCGCTTGGAGAGTGCAGTTTGACTGATTGAGTGATGTTTTGTGTATGGAATTTTGTTCATTTTCAATTCCAATGGAGTTGCGAATGGCAAAATATTTTGCGAACAAAAAATAAAATAGAAAACAAATCACACCAGAGTGAAATCTGTGTGACAAAGAATAATAAAACAAAAACTTATCGAAAACAACAGAAGAAAATTGAAAATCTCATATAAAAATTATAAATGAATAATTCAACGTGTTTCTAATTTAGTTTTGTTTCTCTGTTATTTTCGGCTGAGCTGCCCCGATAGATACTACAAATGAGCTAGAATATTCATCTCGCCTCCGGTCGATGATTCGGTTGTTGTACAGCCGGTGATTGTGACGATTGTGACTAAATCATTTCCAATACTTGATGTAGACATCGTGGTTGTTGCCGCTGATGCCGTCACCGATCCCGACTTTATATCATCCTCAATTTTGGCCACAACATTTGACTCAGAATTAGTTGCGTTTTCGATTTCTGCTGATTTGGCATTTGACTCATTCGTGATAGTATCATGACTAACGCTACTGCTATTGTTTGCATTCAAAAACAGTTCATCAATGCCTTGAATGTCGGTACTTGATTTCGACAATTTTGCAATGATGATTGAATTCGACGTGTTGCTGGTATTGTTGTCGTTGGTGTTTCGAGGCTGTATTGCACTGGTCGTATTGTTACTATTGCCGACGCCGATTATTGCTGGAATTCGTAAAAGGTTATTCGTTCGTGTACGATTATAGCTTGGTGGTAAACTGTGCTCAGAACCAGGTCCACTGCTGACATTATTTCCACGAACGCTCAAGGGAGCTCTAAAAATGAAAATACAAATACAGTGAGAAAAGATAATATTAAATGAGAATTGCCATGTATTATTGTCAGTGGAAAAGAGAAAGAATGACAAAAAAAATTGCGGAAAACATGAAAACACCAATAATTTATTGCTAAAATGTTTACGTTAGTCGAGTTCGTTACATGCAGCAGGAGCTATGTGTTTGTTGGCTTAGATGTGTCTACTGTGTTATACTCAAAAAACAAGCGATATCATGTTTTGCTCCCGTTCATCGCTCCTTTTCGCCAAAGAGTGTGGATTCAGGTTGAATTTTGTTTTTGTTTTTGCACTCGTTATTTTCATCGTCATTTGCTCTAACATTGCCTGATACCAGACATATTGCCATATACAATGAACATATACAGTGATATGCAACTATTGCGAATTGTTTTTTCCTCTTCTTCTTCTTCTTCTTCTTTTTCGATATCTGTGTTGCACATCAATGTGCTTTGGTTATTTGTTCCCTTGGTTGTTTTTTCTTAAATCGTAAATGTGTAGGAGAATATCTATCGGTTGGAGTTTTTCCCATTCATTTGGCTCGTGTATTTTGGCCAAACTTTTTTTTTTACCGTTTGTGAACAAAATAAATGTACGCGGTCCCGAACCTCGTCGAGGATTGTGGTTCAATGCGAAAATTGGTGCATGTGTGTGATTGTTGCGTTTACAAAATCGCTTTCATGTGTGTGTGATGTTGAGGGTTTGAATGTTCAGTGGGCAAACGTAGCTTTCACAAAAATAATTAGATTCGTGAATATTTATGGGATGCAACGATCCACAATCCACATATTTCACCAAACGAAACGGTTTTTGAAGTAAATTTCTATTTGGTGCACACTATTCGAATGCCTCATGCGAGTCCTAAAACAAAGGAAGCACAACTCCACACACACACATTGTATGATTTCATGCTAAATAAAATAATTTGGATTAATGCATGTTGCTGAGTGCTCGCTTATTGGAATTTATGATACATTGGTGAGTTCCTTCGGTAGAATGTTACATTTGAGTTAGCTTTTTTTTGTTTTCTATTTGTGCTTTGCCATCACTTTAATCCTATTTTGCTTGAACTACGTATTTTTTCCATCTCGTTTTTTCCCTCTTTCGACAAACATTTCATAATTCCTTTGCGCTCATATTTTACAAATTGATTCTATTTTACAATGTATGTTTGGGACACATGGGTGTTACAATTGCGAAATACTTGCGTTGTTTAAATGGCCAAATCAAATCTATGCGTCGAGTATGCAATAGGAAAATGGATTTGTTCATTGTTCGTTTTTGTGAGATTAAAAACTAAAAAAATTGTCTGTATGCAACTTCGAAATTTTAAGTTTCACAAAACGAAAATAAATGTTGGGCCTTTTTGATAGAATGTTCTAATATATTTTCATTCATGTTTAAATTTAAATGACTCGCAAACATTTGGTTCTTCAGCTGTTAATCGTGTATAAGAAATTAATTGGCCATTAAGCGCGTTTAGTCATTGAATTTTTTTGGGGTGATCGAATTGGGTGAGGTAACGCTTATCCGCACCGTTGCGGATAAATGTTTCTTTAAACGTTCGAAGAAACACTTACACCCGGAAATAAAGATAAAATTTACAGCGCGTGCGTTCACCACATTTATGTGTTAAACTCAAATTATTTATGTGTCTGTTGTTGTTGTTGAATTTTTTTTCTTCTTCTACTAGTTAGCTGTGCATGTAACAAACCAAGCAATGATTCAATACTCATTAGCGTTAATAAAGGAAATTAAATCACGTAGATACAAACACATCCACACATTGAACTATTTTTTTATATTGTTCAATTCTTCTTTGATTATTATCAAAAAAAGGTAACAAAATTAAAAAAGAAAACGTGAAATAAAAGAGCAAAACATATGTGCAACAATTATACCTTAATAGTGTGCCCGCGTGCGAACGATAAGTAGGTGGTGGTGATGCTCCTCTAACAACGCCAGCTTGTCTATCGCGATCCAATAGAAGTAATCTAATCGAAAGAAAAATGTCGATTCAATTTATTAATAACACCACTTCACTTTTACACACTTCCGCATCGTACAAATTGAATGTAACTTCTTTATGTTGTAAATTGCACTTACCTGAGTCGATATTCTTGCATACTAGCTTGATAGGATGGTGGTGGCGGTCGATGCTGAAATTCGGGATATAGGAAACCAGGAGCACGACCACTGCACGGTCGTCGACCACATCGTCCCAATTCACCAGAGCCCATATCTATGAGGGAAAAATAGCACAAAAAAATGAAGAAAAATTAATCACTCATTTCCGTGAATTCCATGACCCAGAATTTATTCAAACATCACAGCCAAGAATGATATGGCGACTTTTTGTTGTTGTGAAAGCTTCATTCTTACCGATGCCTAGACATTGCGTTGAACCAGGCGCTGTCATTCGCCAAGCAGCCCCGCTAACCGTAACTAGAATAACGCCAACTCCTACATTGATGAGATCGAAAAAATAAATAAAAGCAACACGTTAGAAACAATTTAAAGTTAAATTTCAATCGAATTTGACATCTCAATGGGCTAGTACACATTCTGAAATTTCCATAGCCATTGAGCGGCATACAATGATTGCAAATTTGAAACAAATCAAAACTTGAATAACACACGCTTTGAAATGTTTCGCACCTTGCGTCATTAACAAAGTCGAACAAAGTAAAATGAAAAATGAACGATGCGATTTTAGACACATTAAACATTCATTATTCATACAATATATGTTTGAGTTTTAGTGTGATCAGAACTTAGTGTTTTATGCTCTGACAATTTGATTTTTGCTTGATCATAGCACCAATATTACGCATTTGGAATTGGCTAAGCTAACATTTTTTTTTCTCTCTTCAATCTATTTCGTTTCTAAACACCCAACAAAAACACATGTGTACCGAATTCACGGTCACAAAAGTGTTGAAGCTATGCTTCAATCCAACGCAATATTTAAAGTGTAATTCTCGTGATTCAAGAATGCCAAACGCACAAAAACGTTCTTTGTTTAAGACTAAAATGTAATGAAGTAACACATGAAAAAACAACACAACAGCCAACAACAAGAGAGAAAAAACGTTTGGCAAAAACAAACGAAGAAAATGTATCTGTCTTTTCGGCGGTGACGCAGTGGTACATTCATGGGTTTTGAATTACATGCATTCATTATATCGCGTCTGAAATTGAGGAATGTATGAATAGAAAATCGTTTTTATTTGTTCCTCTGTGTGTTACTCTTTTTTTTACTCGTTTTTCACATACAAGGCCTAAACAAGAGATTGATGATGATTTTACATATGTATTTACGAGTTTTTTTTCTATTCGAATAAACAATTCACATGAGATGTGTGAAATTCGAACTTGGACTCTGAACAATTGTTTAGAAACTTACAAATTGAATAATCATTTTTTAAATCAATAAGACTTTTTCATTAAGGAAATCAGTAAAGAGACGAGAAATAAATCGAAAAAGCATACAATTGCGACTAAATAAATAATTGAACAGTGTGATGTATATAAATTTGCAACTTAGCAATATCCGAAGTGTATAGCAATGCTTCCATAAAAGTCAATACACGTAAAATTTCCATTAATGTTTGTCAATTTACCAAGCACAACAAAAAGTTTTTTTTTGTCATTGATTTAAATGAAATCAAATACATACAAACATATATCTTTTCATTCATCTTCACTTGCACAAGTATAGCAATTAATTCTATCACATTTTGATTAATTTAAAACAAAAAATAAAACATTTAAGCCTGAATTGTTTGGATGAGATTTAATGAGATAAGTAAATAACGTGAATCGCGCATCGTTTGTTTTTCAATTTTATATAATGCCGTTGGCATTGTAGGTGTTGATAGCAGCACTTTATGCACGTCAAGCTACCATTGATTTTGTGTCATTTCTTAATTATTCACAACAATGCCGTCTTGAATACAATGAGGAATTTAATCTGTTTCCATTTGACGCGCATACTGAACCGACCCATCGGGCAACGTTCAGGTAAAACATTCATTTTTTTTTCTCGTACTGAGCACGAGTTTGATAAACTGCGTCGCATTATTTTAAAGTGATTTAATTCGATTTGGGTGTCACACAATTTTGGGATAAAATAATCACACACGATTGCATATAATGGCACGACTAATTGAAAAATCTATTGAATTGTGTGATATAATCTATTCGGAAATATGATTGATTGTGGCTTCGAACATAAGAAGTTAATTGACACCAAATTCTTTATCGAAGAATTAAAGCCAAATCAAATGTAATTTATTTCATAAAAACCAGTTTGATTTGAGCCATTTTTATCACACACATACACCATTTAAATAAAATTATATATGTGTGTTCAATAAGGAACTTTAAAAATGTCTAGGGGCTCGGAACATGAAAAAAATCAAAATAAACAAAGTTTTGACAATTTTGTATGAATGTGGTGTATAAGTGGAAAATATTGAGAATATTTTGAATATTTCTCATATTTACGTAATTATTTGTCATTATTCAGCTCGTATATGGCACCCATGTAAAACACACACAACACAAAATAAAATTAATAGTTGTTGTTTTTATTATATAAAAAGAGATTTCAGCCTAAAAAACTTATATTTCTTTGATAAAAAAATAATTTGACTGAAGAACATCAAAAATATATAGGTAAAAGTGTTCTAAGCTATTTACGATAATCAAAATATTGGGAATATTCATGATTATTCACAGTATTGTTCACACTCAAAATGTACCAATATTCGTGAATATGGTGATTATTATTGTTTAAACTCAAAATATATCAATATTTCTGATTATGTGTGTTTTTTCATCAATAAAAAATACTTCCGAGCCCCTAGAAAAATGTATAATATTCTGGAATGCAGGTTTAATTGCGTTGCAATTAAAAGTAACCATTAAGATTGGACGTGAACATGACATGCAATTTTCATGATGCAATACAATCACACACACACACACAATTGATAAATAGTGCATTTTCATAAAATGATGTGGTATTATGAGATTGTGTAGCGCTTTGATCTTTCAATAAAAATGTTCAATTTCAAGCAATTTGGAATGATTACGACGAAAATTCTATGGGAACAAACCAAAAATTGTGTAAATGTTAACTTATTCAATAACTTTCAATTTCGTTTATATTCATATTCGCGGTGTCTGTATTAACCTTCATTGTGTTTCCATTGTCAAATGTGTGTACGCGATAAAGTAATTCGAAAAGCATTGCACACAAAAAGAGAGATCCAGTTTTGGAAAAGAAAAGAAACAAATAAAAAGAAAGAAAACACGCTGATACTGCTGCGCGGAAACAAAAAGTTTATTACGAAAATAGGCATAAAATCGAGTGAAAATGTCTTTGAATGGCAAAACAAAAGCAAGATTTTTGGTCTAGCTGTTATTCTGTGTTTCTTTCATTTTTGCAAACTGGTTACATAAATGTTGACAGTCATGGGATTTACTATGCACGTTTTGTGCAAAATCTACACTTTTTGTTTGGATCTAATTTGTCGGATAATATGTGTTTGCGTGCGTTGTGTGCACACACACGTTGCCACTGAGAAAGAATAGCGCATGAGTATGTAAACAACATAATATTTGTCATTTGGTTTGAGAGGAAAAAAGACAAAGTATGAGTGAGATCTCCTTGTTGCTTGCCACAATGTTAACGTTGAATCTTTATTTCTTTTGTATTTTCCTCTGTTGCGATATGAAGAGTTCAAAAGATTTGCGTAACAATTTAAAATGAGCATTTCAACAAGCAAGGTATTGTTGCGGGAGAGCAATGTCACAGCGTTTACAATTAAGCGTATATTACTATACCGATGTGTGTGCACTTTTTCCTCCGTTGCACTACTGCCACAGCCACATACTAAAATAATTGGGATGCCGCCGAATAAAAAAGATGGTTCGCACACACGGAAGATTTTGGCAAATGAATAAGAAATGCCAAAAACGTAAACGAAACGACTGGGATGATATGCCATTAAAAAAGATTTAGTTGAATGTGGCACGCAAACATTTAAACGCACAATAACCAATAAAATTCATTGCTGGAAAAGGCGGAAAATGCAATTTGAACATAACTTTTTTTCCGCTCTATACACACAATACACTACGCCACTTGAGCCGAAACGGAAATGTGTATGGCCAAATGTCTTCATCTCGTGACGCAAACAATAGAATGGAAGCCAAAAGAGATCCACACAAACAAATACACACTGATTCAGTATACTAAATGGCATACCACACTGTTTCACGAATAAAAGCCCACAATCAATTCTGCATCATTTGAAATTGAACGAATATCATCGTTTTTCGGCTATTAATTTTTGTTTGCTTCAATCTTTCTCATATCTATGCATCGAAAAAATGCGATGATAACAATCGATTTCGTTTGAGCGTTTACAATGAATATACAAGAAAAATAGCAACAGAAACAAAACGAAAAAATGCGAAAAACTTTTCGCAAGTCACATTTCAAAAGATGATGATGATGATGATTGTGCTTTTGTATGCCGAAGGCAAATAAAACGGCACCATTAAATCGAGAAACGTTGCGATAAAAATCAATCGTGCGAAGTCGAAACAAATATACATCTATGTGTATCTTAAGTCAATGCTAATCATTAAGTCGTTCGAACAAAGCTGTTATTTCAACAATTTGTTCTAACTTTGCAAGAGTCGTGGGAATCGCATTCGATCGATGGAAATCTTGTTCGAATTGATGGATTAAATAATATGTTTTGCTTACCAATCATTAGAAGAGCAGCTGTCAAATGAGATGTTGGCGGACCAGCCAAACCAGTTGCTCCTAATGCGGCTCCACCAAGTGCACAGGCAACACCACCTAAAGTGTAAAATATTTTTTTATAGCAGTTATTATTCAATTCAAAAGTGTCTGATTTCAAGTCTCGAGCCACTTGAATGTAACAAAAATGAATAAAACACTTACCCAGAGCAACGACCGCAATGACTGCACGCAACGGTGGACCAGCGAACCATTGGCCACAACAATCTTTTCCTGGGCGTTCTGATGGTGACCTGCATATAGAAAAAAATCCAACGAAAATAACATATCAGACACTTTGTTGAACAAAAAAAAAAAAAAAAAAAATACGGAAAATGAAAATATAAAAAAATGTTAAGTTTTGTGGCAAGTGCTTTTGCTTTTCAGCAAACATTATCCAGCCACTTTAAGAGAGTTTTATCAATTCATTTTTCTTTTGTGTTTCGTCAAAATGTAAATTTTTCATTTTCGATCGAATTACAAGGTAATTCAAAACTTTATGCTTGCGGCGCCGTCAGATAGAATGCAGATAAGATTCTAATACAACAAAGACATTATGTTTTCAAGGTAAGTATCTTCACATTGTTCCACAAGGAGTCATTACAATTGATCCCATGTATATTTATGAAACGGGAGAACAAAATGATTTATTTGCTTAAAATCCTCTCTCTCAGCTTCCCTGTTTCGGTTTATCCATTTCTCTTCCTCTTTTTCTCACTCAATCTCTCGTGTTATAAATGGTCAACGAAGCGTGGATACCGAAGTTATTAAAATTATGTTTCTTTCTCTCTCTCTCTCTCTCTCTTTCTCTCACTCTCTCTATCTTGCCCGAAAAAAAAAACTTGGACTATTTCACATATTTAAATGAAATTTTGGTTGAATTATTCTGGTTCAGTAATATTATCATGTTATCCATGAGTTTTGAATATGGAAGTTGTGAGTCTCGGTCACGGATGAAAATTCTAAGAATATATTTTTTCCATGTAGCATATTATATTTGTTGCGGCGGCAAACAACTGTGCATTGAATATACTGTTATTTGTATTCCATGCACTCCAGCGAAGGTGGGCCCATTTGGAAATTGGTTTGTTCATGTTTAATGCTAAGATAATTCTACGTAATCGCTATGTTCATGGTTACGATTTAAACCACTTCCACCAAAAATATTATATTCATCTCGAATCTTTGTAATGCCTAATCTGCGCACCGAAATAAAATAAAGTTTCTTTTTATAGATGACTGTTATTTCGATCGAGTTTTTATGTATAAATGTGTAATTTCCATGTTTGCATTTTCATTTTGGTTGCGACTAAACTTTGCATTTCAATTGCCGCAGCTGATTCGGGGATGTACTCTCACACCGATTAGTATGTCGGCTGTATGAGAGTTCGAAAACATAATTTCAAGCCACGAAAATCAGAAAATACAACAAAGAATAACATTAACTGCTTGTATAATTACGTAGTGATTACTTTGTTATGGTTCAAATAAAGTTAGAATCCTTCGTTGGGCCAGATTCGGCATGGTTTCCATTTCGATTTTTGTTCACTAAATATTGGTAAGCTCTGTAATGCACACGGCCTGTAAATAAACCAGCCACAGAAGATATTATCAATTCGTTAAGCAATGCAGTGTGCACCCGGTGTGCATGTGTGTGTGTATGTGTGAAGAAGGTACATCTGTAAGATTAAACATTTTAGTTCGATGAACACAAACATTTTTTATGGTAGAATCAAATTAAGCTCCATAAATGCAGTGCAGAACAAAAATGATATCTCGAATGAATGAAATTGCATTTCGTATGAATGAAAACTATGCTCAACCGGATATTCAAATATTTGTATAATAATTTATTGGAATATCACAAACATTGAAAAGTTTTTGCAATACCGTACACAAACAAGCAACAACAATGAAACTAATACACATTTTGGCAAACGAACATTAAAAAAAAATCAATGAATAATAATGGATATTTTTAAGCAATCATAATATTTTCGTTATTTTCTCTTGCTTTGACACATCTAGTTCATCCTTACAAATCGAAATGCTTTATTGTTCAAACTAACGCATCAATCAATTATTATATTGCCGTGCATAAATCAGGATTTGCCGTAATTTCTTAGTATTGACATTCTTACGGTTTTGGATGATATTTATGGACCAGCATAAAATGCATTCAATTGAATTCCATTCAAATTGAGCGCAGCGCAAATGAAAAAAAAAATTAAGAATTCAAATGTGTATTTTTAGAATGGCTCATAGTTTTGCATTTAAATGGTATATTTGAAGCCATAGAGGATGACATTTTCATAAGAAGCGTTTTCCTTTCAGCTAGAAATTTCCGAGTCATTAATCTAATGAAAATATGTGACCAAAATAGAATCTCGCCCTTGTGTGCCGACACACGTTTACAAACTAACAAAAAATCGTCTTGTTCATTTTAATTGCATTCTTTTTTATGAAAATTCGACGTTGATGCATTTTAATTTTTTTTAAAAATAAAACGAATTCAGCTTGAACATTGTGGGTGACTTGATATTGTATTTTGAATGCGTTTTCACCTTTTTCTATTTTCGTTTTCTTTTTCTTCAAATGTCGTTAGTTTGTAACATTGCGATGTTTGTAGCAACCACTTCACCCAAAAGTAAAATGTTGATTTTGATTTTGGAAAATGTTCAAGTTTTTAGGGCATAAATATTGCATCAGGCGAACCTTTATAGTGAGTTTTGTGTGTTTTATGAGGCAAACCAAAATAATAGTTAAAGTTTTTGGCCAGTTTTTTTTGTGTGTGTTTGTGCATTTCGCTTTTTCTTCCTATGAATTCGAATCCATTCAGCACTTCTTACAATATATGCCATTCATATACCCATACATAAAACCGGCGAAATGAATCCAGAACATGAACGTGGTACCGCTAAAATATTATGCAATATTTTACTATGAAATTCTATAAGCCAGCCTCCATATCATAACAGCAGAAAGTTAAAAAACGAATAAAAAAATGTGCCAACCAGCCACACACACATTTGCAGTGTCGCATAATTTTTTTTTCCATCTTTTTCACAATTATGACTGGAAAATTTATTCGCTGAATGCATAAATGGCTTTTTTTACCAAATATACGTAATAATAACAACAAAATTAATTCGGAACATATACAAAGCGAAAAAATGAAGGAACGAAATAAACAAAGCACATACAAAGAGAGATGAAGAACGTAAATAAATTAATGTGAATGACAGAAAAAAAAAGAATAGTAAAACCATGTGAATCGCTCTATCTCACTTTTTCTATCCTTTTTCTTTTGTAACAACGAATGAACATACATGAAATTGATTACGAAAATTAAGTTTGCACACACAAATCATATGCACACTAAATTAAAATAAATGTTAATTCAATTCAATTTGGCGGTGAATCGTCATTCCTATAGTAGTAAGTATAGTTCTTGTGTTGCTTGGATATCATATTTTCTGTTCACTGAAATAATGCGGAGAATTTTTTTCCGTGGCCAGCAATTTTCATTCCATCGAAAATGAGAGATCGTTTTAAATTTTTAAGGCTGGCCAAATTCACTTGCGCTCAATAAAAAAAAACTTACCCCGCCATGATTTCAACGTTTTAGATCTCAGCGGGATTTAAATTCCAATTTATAGCATTGGCAAACGTACATTATTTTTCAATTATTCGATATTGTATTGGTAAGTTTTTTTCAGACTATAGTAAGCTTAGCCGGTCCTAGTGTGGTTTACAGAATGGCTTTCATTTTATGCTCGGTGAGTGACCGAGAGCACAAGTGTAATAATAAACATTACAAAATAAATGGTTTTTTTTTTCAAACTGTAGCCGTTGCACTGTTGTTTCTTTTTTCATTTGCAAATAAATGATTAAGCTTCGAATCAACATATGTCCCATTTTTCATCAACAATTGTAATAATTTACTTGCGTTACATGCCCATAAAATATTTGAACAAACTAATCGAAAATTTAATTTAAAATTCAATGTTTTTTGCATGCTTGATCGCATATTTTCATTTTGTATCGTCTCTGTTTGTTTGTTCATTCAAATATTTTCAATAAGAAATTAGTTCAATAGAAACATCTCCACCAAAAATAGTTGACTTTGAATCGAGTTTCCATGACGACTACAACAACAACAGCAACAAAGTTCGACAAAAGAACACTAAATAACAACATCTAGATTGTTTTGCAAGACATACGAAAAAAAAAATAGTTACAAGAACGCGCATAAGCGCATTGCACATTATAGATGATAATACGGCGGATTTGAAGGCAATTCAGAGAGCATTTAGTATGATAGAAAGAGAGAAAAGCTGCAATGACAATCAATATCGGTTCAAATCATGCCATAATTTCAAGAGTCAAGTTGATGAAATGAAAAATAAAGTAGTTATTCAGTTTAAGGTCAATTTATGCTTGACTGTGGCAAATCAACTTACAGATAAATATTTTGTGCAATTTTCTACTGTCGTCATATACCAATTCCATCTAAGTCTGTGTGCATGAGTTTTTTTCTGTTTCGACCAAGTACAATCCACGAACATATTTCCAATTGCAATGATCTTTTTTTTTGTGTTGTGTTTTTGCTTGCTTCTTTTTGCTCTCTCATTATTTCTGTCTGTATTATTTCAATTCCAGCCAATGTAAACATATGAATTCTGAAGAAATTGTCACATAATAAAAAGCAAACCGCATAAAATACGCAGTGTGAAAAAAAGTAGCAAAGTTCATTTGTGTGTATATTTTTTTTACTCTTATTTAGTATGAGAATTGAAAATCATGAATATTGATTTGTGCGACAAGTTTGAAACAATCATGTACGCGTCTACAACTGTGTTGTCGCATTTTATCCATGAATTGAGTGAAGTTTTTTTTTGTTTTTGTTGCTATTGTCTATGCTGTCGTTGATTTGCTATCTTCAATGACCGAAAAGCAGTCAAGTGTGGAAAAAATTGTAAAAAATTATTTTCATTGGTCGTATTTTTGTTATTCGTTAGTTTCTTAGCTAATGTCTTCGTTACTCTTAGTCATTTGCGTAAAACATTTGTTGAGAAAAATAAATGTAAAATACAGGGATATTTGTCTTATGCGCTGAGTGGTGAGTAAAAACTGGCGTTGATCACGTACTGTTGTTTTTGTGTAAATGCTGGTGGAAATTTTATATCTGATTGACACTGACGAATTCACATCGACCGTACCCAAAAATAGAGCAATTGCCGTTAAACGAAAA